TGTGAGCCTCATTAGTGATGGTTGCTAGGCAAAACACACACCTACCTTCAGCGCACAGGAAGGAGATAAACAGTGCGTCACAGATGCTAATGACTCTGGCGCCCAAGGCGACCTTTAATTATTATATTTTTGTTCTCTTACACCTTAGTCATTAATGTAGAAAAACAAATGAGTTTATTTTTGTGGACCACAGCAGATTCATAAACTGTCCTCCAGTGCTCACGCCTGGATCACGTTCACTCGGACCATCTGCATGTGCTCCGTGCGTTTCCCTGGCATGTGTCTGCTGCTGAGTACAGCTCCCGACCTGCAGACCTCGGGAGGGAGGACCTCCCTACAGCCCCTCGGCCTGACGGGCTCTTTGCTCTAAAGCAGTGGTTCTCAACCTTCTGGCTCTTTACATACAGTTCCTCATGTTGTGACCCAACCATAAAATTATTTTCGTTGCTACTTCATAACTGTGATGTCGCTACTGTTATGAATCGTAATGTAAATATCTGCTATGCAGGATGGTCTTAGGCAACCCCTGTGAAAGGGTTGTTCGACCGCCAAAGGGGTCGCGACCCACAGGTTGAGAACCGCTACTCTAAAGAATTGAATTTTGCTGTTTTGTTTACAATTCACTTTAAAAAAAAAAAAAAACTCACATTACTTTCTCAACAGTTCACATTGGTCAAAAGGTTTCAACCCACAGGCACCGCAGTACGTGAGTGAGGGGCTTGGCAAAGGCCATGGTGTCAGAGCTTCTGAGTTCTGACTCGTTGCCCAAGAGCACTTGTCCCTGCCTGTCTCTCTTACCAGTTAGTCTCTTTCAACAAGCAAAGCAAAAAATCAAGTGGAAGCATTTGGCTATTTTTTCTCACCCACTCCACCCTGCCCCCATGGGTGATCACCCCCCTCTCTCCATCCATTCATCATCCATCCATCTTCCATCCATCATCTATCCATCCACCCATCATCTATCCATCATCCATCTTCCATCCATCCATCCATCTTCCATCCATCCATCCATCTATCCATCCATCTACCATTCATCCATCCATACACCCATCATCTATCCATCATCTACCTTCCATCCATCTATCCATCTTCCAACCATCCACTCATCTTCCATCCATCCACCCATCTTCCATCCATCCATCCATCCATCCATCATCCATCATCCATCCATCCATCCATCTTCCATCCATCCATCCACTCATCATCCATCCATCATCCATCTTCCATTCATCCATCTTCCATCCATCCATCTTCCATCCATCCATCTATCCATCCATCTACCATTCATCCATCCATCCACCCATCATCTATCCATCATCTACCTTCCATCCATCTATCCATCTTCCAACCATCCACTCATCTTCCATCCATCCACCCATCTTCCATTCATCCATCCATCCATCCATCCATCATCCATCATCCATCCATCCATCTTCCATCCATCCATCCATCTTCCATCCATCCATCCATCCATCCACTCATCATCCATCCATCATCCATTTTCCATTCATCCATCCATCTTCCATCCATCCATCCATCTTCCATCCATCCACCCATCTTCCATTCATCCATCCATCCATCCATCAATCTATCTTCCATCCATCCATCCATCCATCCACTCATCATCCATCCATCATCCATCTTCCATTCATCCATCCACCCATCCAGGGGAAGATATGGCCCTGGACTCCATCCTGGGCTGATGGGGCCAGGATGTAACCACCCACCAAAACATGCACCAAGTCTGTGGGGATGAACTTCCGGATGGGGGCTTATGACAAGCCAAAATAAAACCAAACAAATTAAAACTCCAAGGAAAACTCTAAGCAAAAGAAAGCTTGGAAACAAACCAATACAGTGAAGGCCGTAGTGGGTGAGGGGACTGGAGAGGCTTTAAGGGCAAGGAGGGAGGGGCCAGGCCCCTCTGGGACACACCAGGCCCGGCCGGGCATGAGGGGGTAGGCCTGACCTGCGAGGGGTGGCGGGTGGGGACAGTAACTCAACATGAATCAACATAAAGGATGGTGCAAAGAAAAAGAAGCATTGCAAATAAAAAGAGACATGTAACATGTGCCTACCATTTTCCAGATAAGAAGGGGCCGTACCTTCTGACGGGTCGAGGCGGCGCGCCCGCCGCCCGTGTTTGGAGTTGTTGTGCACAAACATGTTGTCGGACACGGCCAGCACGTGGCCGTCCACGTTGACTGTGGTAGACACAACAACCTGCGAAGACGAAGTAGATTTGAAACTGGAGCCGGTGAGGAGAGCGCTGCCCCCTTCAGGGAGCGGAGCCCTCAGCCCAGGCTGGTGCCAGGAGCGTCTCCAGGCTGAGGGCGTCACAGCGTTCTTTGGCTCATGGGGGTGGGTGGGTGGTTTGGTTTTGTTTGGTTTTGTTTTGACTCGGGATTGAAGCTCTTGAAAACCTGCTACCCTAATTACAGTTTAATCTCCTATTATGCTAACAAGTGCATTCAATTCAGAGAAATATTCTTCTAGCCATTAGCTTCAGAAACACCCCTCTGGCCACTCATTTTAAAGCTGCTGTTTTGATTGATCTGTTCACATATTGATTGGAGAGTTTATCTAATTAAAATTAGTTCACTTGAGACAGTCCTCCTTGAAGAGTGCTGAGGGTTCCTTTGCCAAAAAAGGCTTCATAAATCAAGAGCGGTCCTACTGCCCGCATCCTCCCAGCGAACGCTGGGGTCAGTTTCACAATCACAGGGGACCATCTGGTAGTGAGCGTGTTTGCATCTGAAAAGGCCGAGTTGAATAGGAATAGTGAGCGTGTTCTCAGCCCAGAGTAAGTATCCTTTCTCAAATACATGGCCAGGATGGCCAGGACCTGGCCTGCCCAGCAATGCCCTCTTGTTGGGGTGAGACACTCCCATCTTAAGTCCAGGTCAGAGGGTGGCCAGGGAAGGGCCTCTTACTCTCAGAGGACGTGAAGAAGGAACTCTTGCAGGAGGAGGTGGGGAACCAGAGAGCCTTCTCAGGTGACCTGTGACCAGCATCCCAGAGGTGGGTCTGTGTGGTACATTATTTCCAGAGCAGCTGGGACGGCAAACACGGGCCCAGGTGCAGTCTGGGGATGATGCCTTGCAGCAGGACTCCTAGGGCTGAGCCTGGATTTGGGGGGCAAGGAGCCTGGCTCTTTGCCACATGTGGGCAGTGCTGGGGGCTAGCACCACCTGGAGAACCACACCCCACAGAAACTCTGGGCTTGAGCAGGTGAGCAGGGAACCAGAGGGACTCACGTCCATGTCCACCTTCCCCATCGGTCTGCACACATCAGAACACGCCCTGTAAATGACTGTGAGAAGCCAAAGCTACAGTGACCCTTAGTCAATGCAATGTATCAACATCGGTTCCTCTGACGTAGCAAACATACCACACAAGGCAAGACCTTACTAATCAGGGAAACTGAGGGAGGGGTTCCTAGGGGTAGGCAGATGGAAATTCTCCATACTCTTGTGAAATTTCCTATAAGCCTAAAACTGCTCTTTAAAAAACTATTAGGGAAAAACTGATTTTAAAAAATCATGTTTGAGGGTTAAAAAAAGGCCAAAACTACATACCTATACATGAATGCATGGTTAGTAACAGATTTTATAAAGCTCTCAGGCCCCACAAGAAGACTGAAGCAAGGCAGGGAGCACTGTACCCCCAAAGCTCCCTCCCTGGGGTGCCCTCCCTGACAATTCCCTCCCCGGTGGGCATCACCAAGACTGTGGGAGTCTCCCCAATATCAGGCCCCTCTGAGCCTTGAAAGGTGCCACCCACCATCAGTGTCCCCAGGCCCAGGGTCAGATCTCTCAGTGTCTTCTCTGCTGCCCAGAGGGCAGCACCCTGCACAGCCCGGGTAGAGAGGAGTCTGTGCCACCTCCTTGGCCTGTCTGCCAGGCCCCGCCCCCACACACTACCAGAGGAGGATGCAAAGACCCACAACCAACACTGAGACACAGCCTGGACCCTTTTAAAGTGACTAGACCTGGCATGTGAAAGAAACAAGAAACGTAAAAATCAATCGAAGGGCACCGTCCTGCTGTCAGCCACATACAGGTCCGTCACCGCGGGAGGAGTGCCGTTCGGCACAGAGAGCACAGACAAGCGGGGGTTCGCTCCTCGGCCTGGGCCCAGCCCGCGGTCCTACAGGAAGGGGCCGAGGTGCTGAGACCGGGTGGAAACACGGCGTGAGACTGACCCCTGGTAAGTCCAGTGAAACCCCCGCAAGGCGGGGAGATTAGCCAGAGACAGAGGAAGTCTCCCCTGCAGCGCGGGCTGCACCTGGGACTGGCTCAGGGGTGAGCTCCACTCTGCTCAGAGGGATCACCCGCACCTGCGGGGCCCTGGGCGCGACAGACGGAGGCGGGCCCCACTGTTGGTGAGAGACACTGTCCCAGCTCCGGAGCCTGATGGGGCGAGCCCACGCTCCCGTCTCTGATTGGCTAGTTGGCTGAAAGGACAGACTTCCCGTTCTGCTAAAATGCTAAAGCACCAGCTAAATTTCCAAAAACACTGTGAGCAATCTGATGGTGAACTCATCCGATCTAGTGGACATCTGTAGTTGCTGCCAACTTCTTCTCTGATTGGTCCAGGGACCAGCGGCAGGGTGTGTGGGACCCAGCCCCGAAGATGTTTTATAACTAAAATCAGCAAAATAATCCATCCTGTAGGCAGAGCACCCTTCACCCTGAAGTCACCTCCTAATCCTCCACAAACAAAGACAAGAGAACTGGGGCCTGGCTCATCATTTATCCCCGAAGGCAACCAGCTCTCCTCCTCTCTCCTTGGGGTGAAGTCCTCGAAGCAAATCAGGGGGTGAGCCAGCCGGGCCCAGGAGCAGTCCAGGAACCAGGCAAGGAGCTGAGGAGGCAAGGACACGCCAGGCCTGGGGAGGGAAGCTGAGCCAGGAAATGGCTGACGTTTGCAGAGGCCAGCATCCCACAGGTGGGGAGGGCAGGTTTTGAGTGGACCCCTCTCCCTCAGGAAAAATCAACCAACCAATTGATTCCTAAAAGATCTCCCACACGGGCTCCCAATGCCAGTCACTCGAGCATGAACAGCCACGTACAACAGAGAAACAGGCTGGTTTAGATGCTAATGTTAAGAGAACTCTATGTGAAAAAATTAAAACAGTCCCTTTCAATCACACCCCTGAGATTCACCATGGCCGCATGCAAGCAGGACCCCAAGTTAACCTACAGCTCTGATAACTGACGCCTGGACATCCAGGTGCCGCCCTAGAGCTTGCCTGGTCATCAGGGCACAAGCATGGGTCATGTGTGCAGTGCCTCTTGGGCCATGAATGGATGGATGGATGGATGGATGGATGGATGGATGGACAGACGCAATGCACCCGGCATCCTGAAGACGCCTGATTGTGTTTAAAGCATTTGACTTGAGGGTTTTGGTTTACTCCCACACCCTTGAGAACTAACGATCGTTTTCTGAACAGCTGCAACATCAGAGAATTCACACTTCATCTTAGCAGTTGGGACCGTGGCCCGCGGGTCTTGGACAAGGGTGTACCTGGAATCTCCGCATATCTCGAGGGTTGCCTGCATTCTTCAAACAGTTCTGATTGCACTTGAGGAAAAACTTTAGAAAGAATCTACAAAAATACAAAAAAAAGGATAATTGTTAGGGTTATCAGACAACAGACGAACACTTTTTGAAAGACACAGGTGCACGGGGCGTGGTGGGGGCTGCCCTGCTGACAGCCAGCATGGAAGAACTTCACCTGAAAGTAGTGATTTCCGTTGGACATGATGGGGTTCCGAGTTTTATTAGAACAACGGTGACTGATACTGGTGGCCGTCTCTCGCCTAGATCTTTGACCACTGGCCGTGAGCTGTTAGGGACCCTTCCAGCCCAGAGGGGACCGCCAGTGTCAGCAAATAAAACCCCAGTACGCCTAATTACACTTGAATTTTGGATAAACAATAATGTCTTCAGGAGAGGTATGCTATCCTGAAAAATTATTCTTTCTGTATCTGAAATTCAAATTTCACTGGGCCTGCCACACTCTCTCCGGCAGCCCTAACCCCAGAAGACATCACCACCTACATAAACGCACTTTTCAAGATGCTTTTTGAAATGCACCCAAGGACATGATCATTGATTTGAGAGAGAGAGAGAGAGAGAAACATTGATGTGAGAGAGAAGCATCGATCAGTCATCTCCCCGTATATGCTCTGACCAGGACCAAACCCTCAACCCAGGTATGTGCTCTGATCAGGAAATGAACCCACAACCTTCCATGTACAGGATGACACTCCAACCAACGGAGCCATAACCACGTGGGCCAAGATGCATTTTTGAACTTACAATAGGTACAACTCTTAAGAAAAAACGATTGGGGGTGTTGTTTGGGGGATGACCATGACGTCTGTGAAAGGTCCGTGTGTCTTTAAGGGAGTCATCAACGACCCTTGACAGGACAGTGACAGAGCAGAGGAAGCGGGCACTGTCCGGGGCCAGCCCAAGCTCCTTAGCTCTCGCCGAGCCCTGCCCTTGCGCTGAGAGGCAGGAAGACTAAGGTCCTGACAGCGCGTTGAGCTGCTGTGACAGCAACATCATCATGTTGTCCTCCCCGTCCCTACACATAGGTCAGTGACAGTCGCGGATGCTCCGGCTCACAGGACAGGCATGGGAGCCTGGCTGCCACACCAACCCCGGGGACAGCGGGGTCTTGTCCCTGCGCCCCTGGGGCCTCACCTGGAGAAGGCCACGGCCAGGGGAGCTCACTGCGGGTGTCTGAGCATCCTGTCCAACAAGGCGACACAAGCACCTTCTCCAGCTTCTCTCCGAATACCACCTGCCCTACGTGAGGACGTGCATTCCTAGAGGGTTTCACATGGCTTCCCTGAACCAACCTGAGGCTCACGGTTCTTTGTGGACACGCATCACACCCGAAAATGAGAAGCCTCCACAGGCCGAGGTCCGCCCCTGCTCCGGGCCCAGCAGACCCCGGGCGCCGTTCCGTCCCAGCAGGAGGAACGCCGATGGATGGCGGGAGAGCGGTGGCCACTTAATTAAACGTCCTTACATATGGCGCAGCCTCGCTATTTCAGGCCGGAATTTACATCTTTTATTAACTCACCTCACCTCCACGTTAGCTCGCGGTGCCTCGGAACACCATCTGCCATCAGCACAGCCAGTCACTTGAAATTCCACCCACCAATTTTTCCTAACAGCCGCCGCAATTAAGCGCCACGCGCGGCGGCGAGGTAAATTGGGCGCACCTGCGGCCACTCCGCACTTGAACTGCATCAGAAGGGGCCTAACAAGGTGAGGGCGGCACAAAGTTATCGTCCTCTCAGGCAATTAGGTTTTCACTTCGGGGACAGCCGCGCGGTGCAATTATGCCGCCCATTACCAGCCGGCTAATCTCCGGAGCAGGCGCCTGCCGGAGAGGCGGCTCATCCTGCGGAGCCGGCTCCGGGAGCACCCTTTGTGCCGGGAAAGACCCCCTCCCCAGGAGCTGCTTCAGTTCCTCCAAGTCTTTTCAGCCGGTTCACCCCTGAGCCTCCGTGAGGCTTGGAGGTCGCCTGGCCAGCCTCTGCCTCGCTCGGCACGAGGCCCAGCGGGGCCTCCACTGTCCTCCGGTGCAGAAAGTAGCCCAACCGAGTCAGGGCTGGGTACCCTCCAGGGTCGACTCGGGAGCAGGTGCGCTCACACACACTTGTCTGGGATGGGCTCCTATCGCAGCGCCTCCCGACGTAAGGACTTGGGAGGGGTCTGGAGTGTGTGGCCCGGGGAAGCAGGGTCCCTTGAAGAATTCCGGTCCCAAGGGCACACACCAAGTCAAGGACAACATGTGCAGGGACAGACAGGGGCAGCTTCGGCCGGGAGGAGGGGAGCCCTGTGCTGACTCGTCTTGGTCACGGTGAACTCGGGGATTCAACGGAGCCTCCAGGAGGCGGGCGGCCCAGTTGTGTCCGCGCACACGGACACACGACTGGAAGTGCCCGGTGAGACTCACTGGGACGATGTTTGGGGAGGGGGTGAGGCCACGGAAGGCCCGACGGGGGAGGTCATTCTGGACTCAACGGCCCCCGAATGGGCTTTTTTCCCTAAGAAACATCTGAACATCACTTTACATATCTCCCTTCCCGAGGCCGGGACACAAAGGACTTAATCCTCTTGTTAAGAAAGGAAAAATCTTTCCAATGTCAGGAAATCTTTGGCGTGCACACCAATAAACTCTTTATTACGGCTCAGCGCGGGCTGGCTGCTCGATGGCCGGGGCGATAAAAATCCTAACCTGTCATTAGTACATTACGCTTAATTGTGTACAGTGCGTTTCCTGTTGCAGCTGTTGGCCCATCATCAAAATGACCATTATGTACACTAATTCCCTGACCCTGTCTTTATTTCCCTAAAGAGTCGTCATCTTTCACAGTAGGTACCGGAGTAAATCAAGCTTGAAATATGGGCTTTATTTACTTGTTTCTCCCAGGCAGGCGGGAGGCGGCCACGCCGGGCACAGGGCAAACTCCCCTGTAATATTCTGCTCGGAATCGACCTGCTCAACCCTGGGAAGTCCTCGGCGCGGTTAGAAGTGGGGAAGGTGTGACGTCGCCACTCCTGGAATCCGGCTTCCTCCTCCTGTGGGTTCGGGATGAGGGGAGAATGCCACCCGGGCGACCTCATTGGCTCTGAGAAGAGCGGGTTTCGGGGGATGTCCCTCTCACTCAGGAGCAGCCTATGGACACGGACACGGGGCCTCTGCGCGCTGAGGTCAGCACCTGGGACCTTCCGTGCGACCTAGAAAGTCGCAGGCCTGGCGTCCCTTCTGCAGGGACGGGACTCAGTTGCTCCCAACTGCGCCGTGGCCACAGCTGTGCCCGCCGAAGCAACGTAAGAGTGGGCTCCCAGTGGCCTCCGTGTCAGCATCCGCTCGGACAACGCCCGCGCCGAGGGGCGCTCTCCATGGCGGACCCCGGGGCCGACGCCGGGTAACGGGCTGGGGCGTCGGACGTGGGCCGCTCCGGCCACCCCACCCCGCGGGGCGAGCCCCCGCCGCAGTAACTAACCCCGAAGTGGGCTCCCTCTCTGTGTGTTTAAGCCATGAATTAGTTCATTTATATTTACTTTTATGAAGCTGATTAACCAGAGCCTCTCTATCTGATGAAAATCATTTTAATTGTAGTGTGAGGCTCCTGTGTAATATCCATTACGTTATGAACTGTTTAAATTCTACATGGGTATTGTGCAAATTGGCCCTCTGTGAGCGCGCCGGCAATTAGGACCAAACGGCGCTCCCGCACGCCTCTCCAGAACTTTGTGGCGTGGGTCAGGACGCTCGGAAACAAAGGAGGCCGTTTAATTGTAATTTAATGGAATATCAAGGAGTCCGTGGCATTAGACGCTGGCAACCGAGAGCAGGAGAGAAAAATTAACTGCAATTATGTTTGATTAAAGCCATCCTTCTCAATAATCAGTGGTCCTGACAGGCCATGGGGCTCTCGCGGGTTCCAGGATGGCAAAAGGTGTTGAGCAATATTAGGGCCAATAAAGGGGATATTAGCATAGCTAATTACAGCCCTGCAGAACCTGCAAAGGGGGCCGCTGTGTATTGTAATGTGTGAAGTAATTGGCCAAGGCCGTTATCAATTACGTAAGGAATGAATTTGGTTTGTCAGAGAAAAGTGAGGACACGCATGTCAGCTGACACCTCTCCTCTCCCGCCTGCTTCCCTAACGGAGAAGAACTTGCCCACGTTCAGCAAAAGCCGCCACTTACCAGTGGCCAGGTCGCTGACAAAATTCCGTTGCGGGCGAGTGGTGGGTAATGAATAGCCCTCGCCCGCACCACCGGCCCCGTGACTGCTGCTTTTCACCCAACTGAAGCCACTAATCACGTCATAACGACTGCTTCCCCTCTGGTCAAAGGAGAAATAGATGGTCTCCTTAGAAATGCTGGGCGTCCCCTTGGTGGCCTCCTGCATCACCTACTCTCAGCGTCTCAGGAACCCTATGTGTGGGGACTGTTTCTCTTTTTAAAAAAAAAAAAAAAATGTATTTTTATTGATTTCAGAGAGGGAGGGGGAGGGAGAGGAAGAGAGAGAAACATCAATGATGAGAGAGAATCATGGATCGGCTGCCTCCTGCACGCCCCCTACTGGGGATTGAGCCTGCAACCCAAGTATGTGCCCTTGACCGGAATCCAAGCTGGGACCCTTCAGTCCACAGGCCGACGCTCTACCCACTGAGCCAAACTGACTAGGGCATGTTTTTAATTTTTAATTGTTCCTTTTTAGTCTGTTCCAGGCTCGGTGTTGCCGGTGCTTGAAGATGTGAGTGACAGCGTGTTGCAAGGTGGGACCCTGAGGGGTCCCGTGAAGACAGGAGCGGGCATTCCTAGCGGCCACCTTAGCACAGGTTTAAATGCCACCCTGAGGAAGGAGCCCAGGTTCCCCCAGACGCCACCCGCCCCGAACTCCAGCCTCAGGCCTAGCAGCTGGCCTTCTCTCGGGGCCTCAATTATGGGAAATCTGGGAATCCGAGTCGACAACGAGAAGCAGGGGGGTCTTCAATGGGGGACAGCCCACTTGTCCATCGTAAGGCAGAGCCCTCAATAAGCAGCAAACTAACGGGGCAACGGATG